GGAGCCCGATGTGGGGCTCGATCCCAGGACCCTGGGATCATGACCTGAGCCGAAGGTAGCTGCTTAACCGACTGAGCCACCCAGGCGCCCCAAAAACGCATAAATCTTTTGCCTTTTAAAAGTTGGCTTTAAATCTGTGCAAGGTGGAGGGCGGGAAGGAAGTTTCATAAAAGTGTAAATATTACCATTTATTCCTCCTGGTGGAGTTTGCTGGCCAGTAATTTGTTGTTGTCCCCCTGGGTGTAGTGGCAGAGACGACACCTGCTGCCTGTGGCTTCTGAGCATGGAGGAAGCACGTGGGAGGGGCGGGGGGTCCCCAGCTGTGGGGTAGCAGCTTTGGCTCTTAATTACAGGCTCTTTTCTGGTTTGCAACTTTGCTGTCTGCCATTTGAACGGAGACCCCTCCTCTGCCTACACTTCCGCCCACTTCCAAGCCATATGTCAAGTCTGTCCTTGGAAGACCGTCTGTGCTCAGCACAGCTCTAAACACAGATCTTTCCGTTAACTCCAGCTTCCAGTGTTTTGTGTTATAGGAGAACCAATTGTCCAAGGGAGGCTTTGGCCAGCCTGCGGACTTGCTGCATGACGAAATGGAATCCATTCATAGTGTGCTCAGCTTTTGGAGAAGATATTTCATCTTTCTCATGATGAATGTAGCAAACAAAGCACAGTTAAAAAGATTCTTATTATTCCTTGGTGCCTTGTTGTTACTGCTGATCTGTGCTAACAAGTGCCACTGTCTACTTGTGAGCCCCAAAACAATGATCGTTCGCCTTTCTACCAAGTTCCTCTCTTTCTACCACGATTAGGAATGTCCCTTTTATGACCCTTCATGTTCATATAGCATTCTAGCACTTGCCAAGTGTTCTCACATACGTGCTTATTTGTGAAGTAGGTATTACCACAGCTTTAGAAATAAGGAAACAAGCACAAGGAGGGGCTGAGACTTACCTAAATGACATTCCTATTGTCTGGCCAGGCTGAGCCTTGAAAGCAGGACCTCCGTCTCCAGCCCAGTGCTTCATCCCACTGCGCCCCTGGCACCCAAAGGCGGCCTGCTGGCGTCATGACCTCCAGTCTCTCAATGGCTAATACCTGTTTTTCCTTGCAGGCTGAGAACACCTCTAAGGACCTCTACATAGAAGTATATCCAGGGACCTATTCTGTCACTGTGGGTACAAATGACTTAACCAAGACTCAGGTGGTAGCAGTCGACTCGGGACAAAGTGTGGACTTGGTCTTCCCCGTATGATGTGGACCATCATGGCTATCCCATCACCTTTTTTTTAAGTAGCAAGAAGAATAAAGTCACTGTATGATTCTTTTCATATTTACCCAGTGATCCTGCTTTCAGGGCTGACTGTAGAGGGTCAGCCTTCCTGGGAATTGGAGTTTGTCTCTTTCAGTGCCTATTTTAACTAAAACGTCTAGAAGCCCCCCTCACCCCCACTTTCTGCTGAAAGTCATACTGTAATGATGCTGTCTCAATAGTTTTTAACTGCTTACTGGAATTCCAGGTGAAGTCTACTTATGATAATAAAGGGAGCGATTTTGGAAATGCAGAGTTCCTTTTTATTGGCATGAAGAGGTGAAACAGTGTTGCTCATGGACAGCTGTAGGTTTATGAGAAGGCGACAGGCTGTGGGTGCGTTTGCCTGGAGCCCCCCGCCCCAGGCCCCCAGCAGGGAGTCCTGGCCAGGACCACCGGGCTCCTGTGCCCCTCAGGGTAGGGGCCTTCGCGCCGCTCATCTGCAGGCAAGTCTAGCGCATGAGGATGCCGCTGTTGTGCGCCCGGCCATCACGGGACGACTTGGCAGCCACTTGGTAGCGCCTCCTCAGGTAGTTTACCACCACTGCTCTTTTAGCTTCCTATAAGAAAAAAAAAAATCCCGAGAGTCTGATGCTGACTGTAATTTTAAGGATCAAAAGTCACTGATCTGAAAAAGTCGTGATGTGCCCTGAACTCCTTGAGGCCACCGGGCCAACAGCGGTGCTGCCTTTGGCCAGTTTGGTTGCCTGGTAGTTCATCTCATTCCGAACGTGACCAGTCTTTCCTCAGGACAAACGCCAGTGTTTTATATGGTGAGAGCCAAGTTTTAAGTAGGGCTGTGTTAGCGTTCCTAGTGAGGAACGGACTCCCACGGACAGAGGGCCTAGTCAGGCAGACCCATGCCCATCACCATAGGGTCAAGAGTGTCACTTAAATGGGATCCTTGCCTCCATAAGAAGCCTGTGATCAGCTTTGTGGGTTCTGTAAGCCTTCTGAAATGGAATGCAAAATCGTGGGTATGTGCATTTTCCTGGGAAAAGACAGCATGGGAGTTCGCATTCTCCAAAGGGGCACGAAGAACCACATGAGGAGTCCTTAGGAGCCCCTTCCCAGCCATCCTGCTTTACCTGGCTCCTCGGGGCTTTCAGTCTGAGGGCATTTTGGTCCCTCTGGTGGGTCGCTGTTCCCGGACTCCATTCTCTGTGTTCACCGTCCCCTGGCAGGATCTGTGGTGGCTTCACGCCACTTGCTTCCAGGACCAGCTCCTTCGTATTCCCCAGCACTACACTCTGTACCCTTTGTTGTTTGTTGCCCCTCTTTTCTCTCCAGATGGTTCCATGTCTTGTTCCTAAAGCCCAAATTCAGTGAGTTATGTTGCATGTGCCACCATGGGATTGGTCCTGATGACTGAAGTGGAACTATGTCAGGATCCCAGAATCTAACTAAGTCCCTACCACTGCTGTCAGCTTTTTAAAGAGAAAGTTTGTTAGTCATTTCTGGCCATTACACTTTTTGGATAGGTTTTATCTGATAACCACATTTGGAATTAGATGGGAGAAGGTATCAGACACGATTTTCAGAGCAGCCAGTAGGGGAAGCAAAGGTGGCCAACTGCCACCTGTCAAAGGAGCTTATAAATCACACTGATCACAAGAGGTAGTGAGCTGGGGTGGGGGGGAGGTTTTAAGAGGTTGGGTGTGAGGCAAAAACAAAATAATGGGAGATGTGACTCCCTGGGGAGTAGGAAAAGAATCTGAAAAGGAAGGACTACTTTACAGGAATCCATCCTCTTGCAGGCTTTTAAAACTACAGATTAAATCCTGTTTCACTCATAAGCTCGGGAGGAGAGCAAAGTAACTGCGGGCAGCCAGCAACCTGGCTTCCTAGAATTGTTAGGTTGGGATCAGACGGGAACTCGGGAAGTAACAAGCATGGAGGGCAGAGGGACCCACACAAGAGGACTGTCGTGAGGCAGAGCCTAAGGCTGACCATCAGGCATCAGTACTTGACTGAAGGCCGTCAAGCACAATTAGGAGAAGCAAAGCAGCACATTTCCCTAAAAGCAACAAAATCTGGAGGAGGAGAAAAGGAAAGCTCTGGTGTTTGCCATTGTTTCCGGCGCTGGTGCACACCCGGTTTTCTGCACTTCATCCTCACTAGTCACTTGTGGCACACAATGCCCCACCCCTACCCCCCCACCTCCCACCCCGCGACAAGGGCCAGGGATGGCCCCTTTCTTCACACTCTGACTCAAGAATAGTCTCCATAGCTTTGCACACAGGCTTGGGACCTGGCAGAGGGCAGGTCCAGGGATCCTCATGGTTCAGCTCTAAGAATTAACCTTTGCCTGGAGCATGACAAATGACCTTAGTAGTACCTAAGGGAAAACCAGACCAAGTACCTGAAGGTACCATATTTATCTTCTTTATGGACAATTACTAGAATTTTTGGTGGGGGCGGGGAACAAAACTTTAGAGTGGATCTGTTTAAATGTGGTGATGGGAAGAGAGACTGAATGTGGGTGGCTGGGCAGTGGAGGGAGATGAGCAGTGTGTGCTTAGGGAAAAGAGGTGTGGACTTAACCAGGTTTGGAACTGGTCCAGATGGAATGCTGGGGAGCCAAGCTACAGTACTGGGAATGCAGAGCTGGTGCCCGAAACCTGTGTGAGCACCATGGCCCCTCTGGTTACCCCTCTGGCATCCCCTCCTGAGGCCGGGCCTGGTGCTTCTCTGTTGCTCCCGACAGACTCCTGTCTGTGGGGTAGGTACCGCTTTTCTTTCTCCAGTCTGCTGAAGCAGGAGGCAGTGGAAGCTATGGCAAATCTAGCAGGAAATCTCTAGGCCTGGGCACCATTTCCTTGATAGTATCACCTGTAGGGTGGCTGTATCTGAGAGGAACAGTTGTTTCCTAGTAGCTTCTGCCAGCACCTCCCACAGCCTCTCGCCATGAGATCCGTGACCATCTCCCAGAAGCCCAAGAGCCTGCCCAGCTTGGTATTTTCAATACAAAGGCTCCTCTCTGAGAGGGGAGGAGGAGCTCAGCTGCACACAGCTGACTTCTTGTTCCTCCAGTTCTTTCCCTGGGGCAGGGGGAGAATCCCACACCTGGAAAGCCAAGGAAGGTCTAGAACCCACCTATAAAGTACAAGAGCAGCCAACTTACACCATTCCCACCCGTCCACCCCCATGCCCCGCCAAAGCCCAGGGGTCCAGGAGTCACCAAGATGGTCTCTCGGTGTAGAAACAAATTTTCAACTTTCTGGAACTGAAGACCAACAAAGTTCTTATCCCTGGGGCAAGTGTGAAATCCTCATGGCTAAGAGGTCCCTCAGCTGAGCAGCTGTCCTGGAAAGAGGCCAGTGGCTTCAAACAGGGACCCACAGCGGGTCCCAGTGTGGGTGGTGTCTGGAGATCTTTAAGCCCTTAGCAGTGGTACTCTAAAACCACACAGCCTCCCTGCCCCAGACTGAATGTTTATTTAGTTCACTCTATGTTCGGTTAGTGACCCCAGGGTCCCAGGAATCTAGTCTAGGGCTGGGCTTATCCCAGCCGCCTCTGCCCGCTGACTTGGGCTTCTGCTCTGTCCGGGCCCCGCTGGGAATTTAGATAGGACAGGCATGAGGCATGTCAGTGATAACACGGCTTCTAAACCTATGGGGGCGTCACGGGGTTCTTAGCTCGAGGTGAAGATGGGGATGGCTGTGGATCAACAGCCCTGCCTCCCCTTCTCGCAAGGAATGAGCAGCATGATGCAGTGCCCTGCTTCTTTCCACTCTGATTCACTAAGGGGACCAGGGGAGAGTAGGGCCTGATGACGAATGAATGTTTAAAGACCAGTTTCTGTGCCTCTCAGGCCATTGAAGACTCTAATCAACACCTGAAGGCATTTTGACTATTCATCTAGAGAAAAATCAAGGGCCCCAAGAAAAAAAGGAGGGGTTGGGGGGGCAGGCAAATACAGACAAAGGCAGCGCCCTGTCAGTAGAGACTAGTGAAGGAGGAAAAGACAGTTGTTAGACAGGGATGCAAACCTTCGCACGAAGATCAGCCCATCCTCTCTTACGGGGTATTATTGCTCAAATGGAAACCTACTATTTCCCTTTTATCACAGCCTCCCCTTCAACATGGCCACACTCCTAAGTGTTACTTCCAATTGCAGCACGGGGGATGCGTGCATGAGATCCCTACGAGACACATGGGAGGGAAGAGAGCAGGGCGCCCAGCCCTGCCTTACAAGAAGGTATACCTGGCTTCCCAGGTTGCAACTTGGACCCGTTTCTCCTCCAATACCTCCACTCGGGCTGGCAGAGGCCACCCTGCCTCCTCGGAGACTTCTCAAGGAAGATGGGGTCTGTGTTGACTGTGCTGTCCACCATCAGCCTCTGGGGGAGGCCAATCTGCAGATCATTCTCCAAATCCTCTTCGGAAGAAGAGGAAGAAGAAGAAGAAGAAACCCCCAGGGGAGCTTGCACTGCTCCTTCCTCTTCTTTAGGACCTCTGGGGCAAACGTGGTCCTGTGGGCTTCAGTTCTACCTCTGGATGTTCTTTGGCCCTGGTTAGAGGCCACCAGGTAGGTCCAGCCAAGGGGCAAGGGCAGAGGCAGCCGTGGCCCAGCAGTTGGCAGCAGGCCTGGGGGGACGCAGGGAGGACACAGGAACGGAGTGCCCGGAGAAAGCCCGTTGGTGACCCATCCAGCAGCCGGTCCCCGCGGAGAGCAGCAAGGGGCCCAGAGGAGGGCACCGGCGTGCTCCTTGATTGAAGGCTTGTGCAGCCTCCCCCCAGCCTTCTTCCAGACAGCGGGGGGGGCACCCACCTGACCCCGCCTCGAGGCACGCTAGCTGTCTTGCCATTTCAGAAGTGAACAGTAATTTCTCCTTCTTTTGACGCTATGTAACAGAAAGAGCAACATTTTGTTACAATTACCTCTTCTAGATCATGGGACAAGGGTTCTCCTAGCCCCCAAAGCAAACCTCAGTGCAGCCCCCTGCTCCGCCGGCCTCCTCCAGGGCACCTCTCTGTGGAGAGCCTGCCAGGAACATTCCCTCACTGGCTCCCTATTTACTGCCACCTCCTGGGGCACTGGCATACACCTCCCGGGCTCGATTTTCATGAGAAAGAAGAGAAGCCTCCTCCTGTCATTCTCAAAATTGCAATGATGCTGACTGCTGGCCCTGCAGAAGGGGACTCTCCCAGTCCATGGATAACTTGATGGGGGACCAGTCATGAGTACTGGTGTGGTCCCAGTTTAACCTCATCACCCCACAGGTTAGCTAACCCACATAGACATAATAGTTTTAGGCTATTTTTGCTCTGATGAAAGGTATTATATAATCCGAAAGATATGATTCATCTGTCTGTTGCCACATCCAGGATTAAGCTGCAAGTGAGGGGGTAAGGATTTTTTTTGACACCTCTAAGACCCTCAGCTTGCCTCTAAGACACTTTTTGCTCTCTCCTACCAGCCTGGCTCCACCTGGGGACCGCTAGGTCGGAGCTGTTTCCCCTACCTCTCTGGGGGTCTCTTGCGTCCGAGGCCAAGAGAACGATGCCAGGGCCATACCGCTGTCGGTCTGGCTCCCAGGGGGCAAGCACCATGTCCCCAGGTCGCAGCGAGCATTCCGTGGATGGCAAGAACTGAATGACATCATCTTCTAAGACCACGTTCTGCCGCTGGGCTGGCCACTTCGGGTCTGTGATGAGGGGAACCTCAAATTCCACAAGCAGGGCCCCCCATCTCTCCAGCTGTGGATAAGAAAACACAATAAAATCTGGCGTGCGGAAGTATGACAGGGAGCACCATGGTTCCCCGCAGTGCCCTAGAACCAGGCCCAGGGCCTTCCTTACAAACAGTGAGGGCCATCAAGAGAAGGGACAGGGACAGATGCTGTTAGAGCTGATTGTGGCAGAGACAGGCAAGCTGTAGCATGGATGCTCTTCCCTCTACCTCTTTTTGCCCTCAGCAACTCTTGTGTATCACTTCCTGCCATTCCTTTCCTGTTCTCTTCCTCTTCCTGTTTTTCTATGCTCTTCTATGTATTTGGCCTGCAATTCCCAGGGATAACCTGGGTCCTTTGGATCTTTCTCCAGTGTACTCCCCCTCCTCCCAGCACTTCTGAAAAGTGTTGTCCCTGCGTCCAAGACCAACTGGGGATAGATAGTGTATTCATCCACAGGCCCACACAGGCAAGGAGGAGCTATGGCCTAACGTGAGGGCAGCCCTCAGCACCTGCCATTACAGCAATGAGCAGAGGTTCAGCAAAGCAAATGGACATCGTAAAAGAGAGGGCAGGAGAAGTCTTGAAGCTAATTGAAAGTACAAGCTGTTTTGAGAACTCAGTATGATTTGGAAGAGAAATAAAGTCTGGTCGCAAATTACCTTAATCACTAGACAGCCTATTATTTGAGCAAAACTCTGCTAATATTTCATTTGGATTCACATATTATTAGTTCCTTGAAAGCGACAAAATGACTTTTGAATGGAAATACTATAATTCATTTTTTTGGAATTCACACTAGTCTTCCCTCCATGAATCCACAGTCACAAAGTCTGACTCTGAGAAGAGAAAAACCCCAAAGAAGGAAGCAGCCATGGAAGTAAAGCGCAGGCCTGGCTCCCAACATGTGGGGGACCAGCTTGTGTGTGTACGGGCAGAGACGTGCATGTGGGCATGTTTTGTTCCTCTTTCCTTTAGGCTGGTGCCCATCATTCAACACACTGAATTTTCCTGAACAGAGCACTTTTCACTCTCAATTCTCTTCACTGTCACAGGTTCAGTTGTATCCCCCCCAAAATGCATCTGTTAGAATCCTAACCCTTAGTACCTCAGGTTGTGACCTTATTTGGAAATAGGATCATTGCAGATATAAGTAGTTAAGACAAGGTCATGCTAGGCTGAGTAGGGTGGGGACCTAATCCAAAGACTGATGTTCCAATAAAAAGGGGAAATGTGGACACAGACATGCACAGAGGGAAGATACTGTGTGAAGGTGGGGCAAAGATTGGGGTGATGTTTCTCTAAGTCAAGGAACACCAAGGATGGTCAGCAAGTGAACGGAAGTTATTTAGGAAAGCCATGTAGAACAGATTCTCCCTCACGACCCTCAGAAGAACCAACATGCCAACACCCGGACTTCAGTCCCGGGAACTGAAAGACAATACATTTCTGTTCTTTAAGTCACTCCGTTTGTGCTACCCTGCTACCCAGCCCTAGCAAACTAATACACTCACCTCCATCACATTTCCCTTCTAGAACCTGGTCCTGAACGATGTGTGCTTTATCCAAGAAACTGTCCTGCTGGGCACACACAGCTGAGGCATAGCAGTATGGACAGGCCACCCCGAGGAGTGTGCTGGGAGATGTGAGGAACTTGCCTCTGGAGCAGCCTTTATCTGAGCCCGGTAATAAAAGCCATCTGGTCCCCTTCTTGCCAGGACCCATGTGTCAGCAGCATCTCCAGCTCTTCCCAACCAGCCAGGCCCCTGCCATGCTGAGTCAGCAATGTGGAGACACGGGTGGTAAGATGCATATCTGGGAAAAAGCAAATGGAATTAGGGAGTGGAGAAGACCAAGCCCTAAAAACATCAAGAAACGCATTTCACAGATCTGAGCAGGACCGTAGTGTGCATATGACATAGAGGGCTGTGTGGGACAGAAATCCATGCAGCAAGTGGCTGGCCATCTGTGACTTCCAGTAAGACAAGGTAAACTGCTGGAAGGGGCAGAAGGAGAGGACAGTGAAGGGAACTCTCATTTGGGGACTGAGAATTGCTTCAGGTCATCAAAATGTGATTAGCCTGGATATAGTCAAGTGAATTAATGCTGGTCCTGAGACTGAACAGCAGACCAGGAAAGAGCACTGGGGTGGTAAATCCAGAGGCAGTGTGTGGGAATCCAGGATGAGGCATGCACGTTTGGATGGTAGTACGAAAGGAGTAACATGGGAAAGGTGCTTGGTGCTAAGGGGTCAGAAGGGAGGAGGACGTGTTTGAGCAGGGGAAGCACAGAGGAGCTGGCTAAGGGGCTGAGAGACAGGAAAAAGGAGAAGCTACTCCTGGAGAGGTTTGTGGACAGGACCAAAGCGGGGGTGCAGTGGTGGGGAGGGATTATTGAGTCAGGGTTTGGGTTTTCTGAAGAAGCTGTTTACTTTGTGAGCAAGCCTAGAGGCAGGGACGCTGAACTCTGGCTTTAAACAAGATGGTCCATGGGGCGCCTGGGTGGCTCAGTCGTTAAGTGTCTGCTTTCAGCTCAGGTCATGATCCCAGGGTCCTGGGATCGAACCCCACTTCGGGCTCCCTGCTCGGCGGGAAGCCTGCTCCTCCCTCTCCCACTCCTCCTGCTTGTGTTCCCTCTCTCACTGTGTCTCTCTCTGACAAATAAATAAATAATCTTAAAAAAAAAAAAAAAGATGGTTCACATAGATGAATCTAGAAAGCAGGTTCTTAAGGGTTCAAGCTGGTATGTCCCTAACCTGGGCAGACGGAATCGAGTGGCATGGACATAAGCGAGTCCCTGGAACTGACACCACGTGCGTATGCTTGAGGGCTGAGCTTCCTTTCCCTTCTGCAATCACACTTTAGACAGCCCACCGAGGATTCGATTTGGGAAAGGCCAGGATCACTGAGGGATACTGAGGAAACCTGAGGAGGTACCCAGAGACCTCGCCTTAGCTGTTGGTTGCAGAAACCCTAATTTCTCACGTGGTGCGAGGGCTAGTCTCGTAGTTGGTGGTAAACTGAGCTGGAAGCTCTTTAACTGGTGATGCCTGACTGCCTTCTCTTCACATGCCAACTCTGACGTCAGCCACCTTTCTACAAGGAGCACAGTTTAGACAGGAGGGATAGAATACCACGAGCAAATCATAGCCCACGCCGTGAAGAACCCTTCCAGCCTCCGCAGGAAGCAAGTTGTCTTCCTCATGGTTCACTGTCGAGAGCCAAGAACGGAGAGGAACAAGAGGGGTGCTCATCACTTCTGCCAGAGGAGCCGAGACTAGTACCTGCAGAGCGGGTTGTGCCGGGTGAGCCAGGGTGCTTGGATGGCAAAGGGGCAGGTGAAGGAGAGTCCCCAGGGAGGAGCAGCGCCAGTCCTGGAAGGGGACTTCAGGGTCGTGGCCACACTGCAGTATTTGGGCAAAGGCGTCCCAGGCCCTGCAGAGGATTCCATGGCCTTGGGAGGAGAAACAGGTGAGAACAAGCACCACTGTTACCCGAGTTGCAGCCCCCAGCCCAGCAGAGGGCACCTGGCTGGTGCAGGGCTCAGTTCTGCGGTTAACAGACCCCATCTACTCCCACCGCGGCTCAGGCTGTTCTCTGAATCACCTGCCTCGGGAACCTCAGCTCAGGAGGTAGAGGAGGGGTTGGAAAAGCAAGTGTTGTGACTTTCGAGAAACCCAGCTTTAAATCCTTCACAGCCTGCGGGCTGCGTGCTCACGTCACCACGCCCTTCAGTTGTGCTGCAGGAGATAACATACTGAAAGCACCTGGCTGATCAGTGGCTCCACATCCGTTAGTGTTTCCCTCCTCCCCGGTTGTAGGGACTCCCGGGGGTAAAACAGTACTTCCCTTCACAAATACGGCTGGCCTAACCCTGATAACAAGCCGACCCCTAATCTAGGCCACAGACTCCCTTCCTAGTCCAGTCACCTCCAGGACTAACTCTAGCCCCAGCTGAGATCCCAGGGTCGTGTCCTCCACAGACCTGTTCAGACGTGCCACCCAGCGCCCAAGATCACACTCCGCTGCCCCAGCCCACCAGGGCTCCTGCCCAAGGCCACAGGTCTGACCCCAAGGGGACTTACCCACAGCCCCCAACTCCTCCGCCTCAGCCTTCTGGCAGCTGGGGCTCAGGGCCTGAGCCCAACTGACTCCTGGCTGCCGAGCAGGTTGCCATGGCTGCGAGCCCGCAGGAGCGCTGTGGACTGAGTGGACTGAGCATGTGCAGAGAGGTGGCGGGCGCCTTGGGAGGCGTGGGCCGGGCAAGCGGGCGGAGGGTTTCTCCGGGGAAACGGGGAGAGGAGGCTTTGGGGAGAAAGGTCAGCGCAGCCTCAATTCCCCGAAGCTCAGGCTTCGCCACTGCTGGAAGAGGCAGTCATGGTGGGAAGCCCTCATGAATCCCAGCGGAGGGCGCCTGGGTGGCTCAGTTGGTAAACCGACGCC